GTGATTACGTCAGACGAGGCTACTCAACGTGTAATTATATCAGACGAGGCTACGCAACGTGTGATTACGTCAGACGAGGCTACTCAACGTGTAATTATATCAGACGAGGCTACGCAACGTGTGATTACGTCAGACGAGGCTACGCAACACGTGATTACGTCATACGTCAGCAACAAGCTTTGCGGTAGTAAACAGGAAGTGAAACTTGCTAACTAGCAGAGGCTAATCATCTCAGGACAATGGAGCGATTTTTTTTCCTGAATGCCTTGCTATTGGGCAAGGAGACATAAGGAAATAAAGCCATGTTTTCGTGCGTTTATGATAACATCCGGGACGAGGCAGGAAAGCGGAAACAGCTGAACGTCATGTGAGGTAAATATGCYGTACATCAGAATTTACTCGGCAAACGTGTTACCATCTCCCGTTTTGTGCATTAACTACTTTGTGAATCATCCAAAAACCACCTCAAGCGAGCGTAAAAACATTTTAAAGAATTGAGGATTTTTATTTTTTCGAATTTTGCTGTTTCCATCTGACTTTTTTTCGCATTTTTAATGCGACACTTCTAAATGCGCATCAAAAAGCCTTGATGGAAACACGGTTAGTAACAGAATAATGATAGTATCAGCACATTCCTGATAACTTATCTCTTGTCCTGAGATGTGTCCCTGACAGTTTAAAACATTTACTTCCTGTTTACTTCCTGTTTCCTACAGCCATGTGTCTGATGTAATCACTCTGTGTAGCCTGGTGGATTCACACCAAACCAGTTGATGGAAACAGCTTCTGTCTTTATAAATGTTTTTCTTGTCAAACCCATTTTAAATTGTGTGTGTGTGTGTGTGTGTGTGTGTGTGTGTGTGTGTGTGTGTGTGTGTGTGTGTGTGTGTCTCACACAGCATCACTGGCAGTCTGGTGTACTCCTACATCACCCTGACAGAGGAGCAGTCCATCAAAGCCAGTGACAACAACAAGCTGGACTTTAAGGGGAAGGTGGTTGTGTGACAGAGACCCTGTGTGTCTGTCACTGTGTGTTTCATTGTGTGACAGAGACACTGGATTTTATACTTTTTTAATGACGTCAAACAGGAAAACTCTATTTTTACTACAACTTTACTGATGGAATATTTTGGCTGCAGATTGGAAGTATTGTGTGTTGTGTCTGGAGAAATGTCACCGACCTGCTGCTGCCATGCCTACAGAACACTCCTGAAGGATGTGACACGACTTTTAGATTTAGTTAGTTTTATAGACTTGTTGAAGAAAAGAACATGAAAAATAATACTTACATTGAAAGATTTCTTGGTTTTCAGACAAATGTAATATTTCAGGGTTTGAACATTTCAAAGATCGCTCTCAGGTTGATCTGTTGACTGGGGGTGGGGTCACAAGTTCACCTGTTGTCTTGAGGAGATCCATCGTCTTGAGCTGACCTGTCACCTTGAGGTGTTCCATTACCTCAAGGTGACCCGTCGACTCATGTTGACCTGTTGACTTGGGACCGGTTGTCTCGAGTTGACCCGTTGTCTCGTGGTTCTGCTGTGGCATTAGGGTCTAAATTAAGACTATTGTGGTCCCAGTGGTCTCTGGAGGTTGTATCTGTTTCAAATCCACTTAGTGACCTGATCAATGATAAGTTGGCACCGGACTGCCAGTTGAGGTGGTTCATCTGGTTAGGATGCCTCCTGGACTCCTCCCTGGTGAGGTGTTCTGGACACGTCCCACTG